GTGGATGCACCACGGATTTATAAAGAGGCACAGTGATACGCTTCTTGTGGGAACAGCTTCTCATTGGGTTCCCACTACTGCACTCTTAAGAAGCTGCCGGCCCCACTAGGTGCCAATACCCCTGAGCTTGTCTTTCCCTGGCACCATACCCATTGGCTCCTGGAGTTGGGCGAAACCCAGCCACTCAGTTCTGCTGGCCTCAGGCTTTCCCCATCTTCCCCTTGTCTTGCTTTGGAGCCATTTCCCCACCACCCTCTGCCCCTAGGGCTCCTCTGCCAAAGTATCCTCCCTCCTAACTCCAAATGCCATTGCAAAGGCCCCTTTTTACCCTGGGATGCACAGCTCTGCGCACCCTGGCTTGTTCTCTAGGGTCTCCTCCCTGTAGCCCCTCTTCCCGAGGCCCTCTGCCTCTCAAGGGCTGAGGGGCCAAGCATCTGCTGAGATGCCCTGACCCTGCCATCCTCTGTGGCCCAGATGCAGGCAAGTTGGGAGACAGGTCTCCCAGGGGCAGCAACAGGGCATCACCGTCTCCTGAGCCCAGATCCAGGATCCCTGCATGCTGATCCTGGATGACCCCACCAGTGCCCTGGACACTGAGATCCAGCCCCTGGTGAGAGGCACAGGCAGGCTGAGAGCAGGGGGGCTGTGGGTCAGGAGTGAGGGGCACTGGCAAGGGGAGCCCAATGCTGGGCTTGCAGGGACTGTGAGGGTCAGGCATGAGGAGCATCAGGGCAGGAGGGGCCAGGATGAATCACTGGGGTTAAAGTGTGGGAGTGAGGGCCATTGGCAGAGCTGGGGGGGGCTGGGGCAAGGGGCCCTGGTGGGATGGTGGCAGTGGCAGGGGACTGCATGGGTTCTGGGGCAGGCCATGACCACGCTGCCATGGCAAGTGCAGGAGGAGGTATACGAGGGGTGTGGGCCAGGTGCTCTGTGCTGCTCATTGCCCATTGGCTCTGCACAGTGGAGCAGGCTGACCTCATTGTGGTGTTGGAGGATGGTGTCATTCAGGAACAGGGTACCCACCAGGAGCTGCTGGTGTGGCAAGCTGCCTACTGGCACCTGGTCCAGGCCAAAGAGCAGAATGGAAGTGATTGGGCTGGTGCCGGCTGTGGAGAGGAGTCTGGGGAGCCCTGAGACTGCGTGTGACCCCCACAGGGGCAGGGAGGGCTAAGTCTGGGCTCCCAAGGCTCAGACCCCTTCCCTCCCTGCAACCCAGGTGCATTGAATTATTGGCTGTAAGGCTAGGCTGGGGCATGGGAGCCGTGAGGTGTGGGTGGGGTGGTCATAGACTGCTGATCGAGGAGCCTCCCATGCCAGAGAGAGGCAGGTCCCCCTGGCTGGCAGCCCTGTGTGAGACTGAGCTGGGTGATAGCTCCCCAGGTTGGTTTGCTGCTAACTATAGACTGTGATCAATTTAGGCTAGAGTTAAAGGTTGAATTAAAGTTTTGCTCAGGTTGTCATCTCGTTCCCCTTTTCCCTTGTAATAAACTTGTTCTTATTTAACACTGGCTTGTGAGTGGGAAGCCTTGTTCACATGAGAACACCCCGTTCAAATTTACTTTACTGAGTTACTGGGTGGGGGTTGTGGCAGAAATGCCACCGTCTGTGCCCCTCTCCAGAAACCTGTCTCTGCCAACATGAGAGGCTGGTGTTCAATTCCTCAGGGCGGGGGATCTTCCTCCCTGCTAACATGACAAAAGCCTGGTGCCTCGGATGTGGATGCTCTGGTCACCTGGGGAGGGGGACGGAAGAGCCCCGTTCACCGGCCCAGGTAGCCAGTGATGCTTTTTAAATTGGGTGGCTAGTGGCCAGCGCTGGCAGCTTC